GTAGATTATATTTTTTTGTATCCTGCCTACTAAAGCAGCCCAATTCAGAGCTGTGACTGAGGAAAACCACAGAAAAACACGACATCAAAGAATTTGGTCTGCACCACACACTCCTATCAGTTTTATTATTTTTCCATGGCAAAATAAGAAATATATTTTCTTTTAGTTTTGTGAGATCTGATAAATTCTGTGATTAACAGGAACACTGATTAAAATCAGGTCACTCATTAATTTAACACATTGACAGGGTATAGGCAGTACCTTTTGAATAGGCAATTAAAAGAAGGAAAATATCAAAGATGATTCTTAGGGAAATACTGGTAAACAACTGATCTTTATGTACTATAAATGAAATTCAAGCTAAGCTTAATTTCTCTTTGTTATTGTAAAAGTGTCGTAGTCAGAAGAATAACAATTGGGTATAATCTTTTTCTCTTAATAAGTGAGACAACTACTAACAAACAAAAGAAAGGGGAAAAAAATGAAAAAAAAACAAGAAAGCTTATTTCAGATCAGGTAGTCCTCAATCTTACATCTTTTGTCTGTAGCATATATGTGCATTTCATCTTCTACTAGACAAATTTATCTGGGGAAAAAAGGAAGGCAGAGCAAATTTAGTCCTGGAAGAAAACAAGGAAATGTAAAGCAATACCCGAAAAATGGTCAAGCAATATACACTAGGTTATCTGATCGTTTATATTGTGCTAACCTAATTTATTTCTACCTACTTCATTGTTTAATTATAGGTATAAATGAAGCTCAGTTGAAAAACTGCATAATGTCAATGAACATTACCTGCATTTAATGTTTACATCCATTGATGCTGCAGTATTCCAAACAGCAATTTGTGAATTAGACCTTGGAATACCAGCCCCAAAGGTGTATTTTCCAGCTACCATCAACAATGTTTGTTTGTGACACATTCTGTTCATGCATCCCTTTATGTTAGGGCATAAAAGATACATCTTCACATACTTTAAAGCATAGGTATGTTTAAATATTTATAGAATGAGTGGAATTTTATAAATCTTCCTCTAAAAGACTGCTAGTGAGAATTTGCATGTTGAAGTACACATGCTGCAGGTACAAACAGTTTTTAAAACTGTCTATTGAAATAACACTGGCACCCTAATTTATCTTATATTCACAAGAAAATGTTCTTTTTGTGTGCTTAACCTGGAGTAAGTAAAGCAGTCCTCATCAGAGCTTCTGTCTCACAATGAACATGCAGTGTTGTGTCCTGTGTGTAAATGTGGGCAAGGGATTCCACATGTTAGTGATTAAAAATATCCACAGAGTCACTGTGTTTCCTGAGAGACAGTTGTTAGGAGCTGAAAGGTGACATTTTATTACTCTTAAACCTATCCTTAAACACTGTTTGTGCGAGTGCCCAGAGCTCCTGATTTTGCAAGATACAGTTGAGACTCGTAGAACAGCCCAGCTTGGAAGGGGCCTCCAAAGATCCTCTGGTCCAACCTTTTGTGGGAAAGGGAGCTTAGAAGAGATTCCTTAATACCCTGTCTAATTGCATCTTGAAAAACATCCAGTGATGGGTACTGTGCCACATCCCTGGGGAAGTTTTCAACTGTTTTTCCCCAGTGTAAAAAATTTATTTCTTATATCAAGATGAAAGCTCTCCTGCTGCAACTTGTATCCTTTGGCCCTTATCTTCTCCATGTGGCTCCTGATGAAGAAACAGCCTCCATGTGTAGCCACACTTTAAGTAGTGGAAAACTGTGATGACGTCAGAGAACTGTGAGTTAAACTCCCCTGTTCAGTGCTGCACTGGGAGAGAATGAGACAGAGGCATTCACACCTTCAGGGACAGCTATGAGCAGTGCGACTGCCTCCATGTTTGATACCACCTTCCCTCTGTCTTCAGCAGAGATGATGGGTGCACTGTGTGCCATTGCAGCTAATGAAGAACGCACACAGAATCGTAGAGTCCTGGAAGAGACTTTCAAGATTATCAAGTCCAACCTTGGTCCTAGCCCTATCAACACCACTAAACCATGTCCCTCAACACAACATCTACCCATCTCATAAACA